ACCCATCACCAAAGTGACCAGTGGGCAGCTGTAAGGGCAGCAGAGAGTGGGGACGGAGACATGATCAGACCACTGTCCTCACTGTGTGTGTGTGTTTGTGTCTTTGTGGAGACTCTGTCCAGACTCCCACTGAATGAGGGAGGGTTAGAATAAGGTTAGGATTATGTGCATCTGTGTTTGTATTTGACCCTGTGTGTGTACTTGTGTGTACTTGTGTGCATGTATTTGTGTTTGTGCATGTTTAAGTGTGTGTGTGTGTATCAGTGTGTGTAGTTGAGGTTCTATATTTGTGTGTGTCTGCTTGTTTGTGTATCTGAGTGTATGTGTGTGTGGTTGGGTGTGTCACTGACTTTGCGTTTGTGTGTGTGTGTGTGTGTCTCCTAACGACTCCTTTGATCAAACCAATTATTAGAAGAAAGAAAAGCCTCTGACCTAAAAGTGTCTGAGCTGGAGAAACATCACGGCTCAATCTGCTGCCACCTATTAGAGGAGTTATTAAGCATTCACACCGCGCTCACTCACACACTCACTGAGTCACGCACAGCAAAACCTCAACTATTAAAAACCAACTGCATGCACACTGGGATCTGTGATCACTTAGCACAATCGTCACGTTCACGGCGTTGAGCCTCCAAATGCACAGCCTCACAGAGCAGGGAGAAAATCCAGCAGTTGGTAAAATCAGTAAATATTTCAAATACCCACATATACAGTGTCACACACAGGCTGCTGCGAGGAAAGGCAGATCATTTCCTAATTATCTTTTATGAACTCAAGGTCTGGCTGGAGAATTGAAATATGGTGGTATCAATTCATTTGAAGGGTCTTTAGTTTGCAGGTGGGACCTCAGAGATTTTAATTTCAAGAAAAGGTTGGTACTGACATTTACCTGATTTTATCTGACACTGAAGTCGGCGGGAAAATCCAATCCTCAGGAGTAGTTTTAGAAAGTAAAAGTACTATAGTTCACAAAGTCACAACACATCAGCTTATACAGTGGTTCGACAAACCCTCCTATCCCATGTTTACTTCATATGGAGATTTTTTTCCAGTAGAAAAGTGAAGCCATATATTGTCTAAAAATCCCCAAGCTGAGAAATCCTACTGATAACTTTTATATTGTTGTATATTTACGTTGTTTTGCTCTTGACAAAACAGGCTCAAAATCTCACTCTTATATCGTGATAATCAACTCAACAATCCACCGACGCCTCCTGGTGTCTCCCAGCAGTCGGGGCAGTAGTTGTGTTAATCGACTGCCATTTGGAGAAAGTCAATGCTGTTGCTTTTTTGTTGCCACGTTAATAGAGTGTGTGCTGTTAAAGGGCACCTGTGCTGCTAATATCCAACCTAATTACACAGGCAATTTGTTTAGAGACGCCCAGTGACCGAGTGCCATTTAACACCGATGACTAATGAGAAAGGTTAAAGAGGTCAATTTCTTAACAACCTGCACTACTTACACCCTGAGTGGCAAAAAACACAGAACTACAATTAGACAGAAGGTGGGGGGGGGGCATTAAAGGGGACGTCCAGCAACACTGGATATTAGGGAGGAGGGGGTCAGCAATATGGTGTTTTTGAAGAATCTGTAATTTAATTTAATCTCCACCTTTCAGGTTCAGATTACCTATTCATCCGTGGGACTGACCAAAGACAAAAATATAGGAGCAAAACATTTTAAACATAAAACTAAAACATAGAGCATGAATAATAAGAAGAAGAAGATTATCATAATAAAAAACTTAATTTAAAAGTTCAAGTCAAAACTTGACAAAGCATAACTTCAGAATGAGTAGAACAGTCAGAATAAGCATAAAATACAGAAAAAAGCTCAATGTTGGCCAAGAAGGAGCTAAAAAAACAGTTTTGTATTTAAATCTGAGATGAAAGAAAGAAAGTTAAAGTTAAACCTGAGATATTTTTAAACTCCCAAAATAAACTCTCGGATCGACGATAATAAGACATATGGGATAAAGACATTTGTTTGCACGTATCATAAAACAAGCCAAAGTTAGTTAAAGTTAACATAGTACTTTAAACATAATATAAAAAACCAACCAATGAACAATGACAAACTGTAAGTACTTAGAAAATACTTAAAAGTCAGCAAACAAAGAATAAGAATTGCTGAAACCTGTTAAACCAGCTGAAAGTCCAAGGAAAACTAAATGTGTTAAACCAGCTGAAAGTCCAAGGAAAAGTAAATGTAAAAATTGAGCTACAGCAGTAATTTACCAAGAAGCTAAAACAAAAACTCGTAATATTTATAAAAAAAATATATCCAAGAATGTGAAGAGAATCAGTGAAGGAACGCAGTCAGAGTCTGAGGGCGGTGAGAGAGGAGAGCTGCAGGAGTGGATGGTGAAAACACAGCTGTCAACTCCACTCCTTGAACTAAAGGTTAATGTACAGTATGAGAGGGAGGTTAGAAAACGGGGCAGGGTTCAAATCCAGGTCAGGTCTAATACCTTACTGTCACAGCACGTGTGGCTCCTCCATTCTACACCGCAGTAAGTACAAATACTACATGCACAGAAGAAGAAAACAAAGTGACGGTTCATGTCATACATCATCAGAGGCCACCAGAATAGAAGCAGGGAGGCACAAACAAGCGGCCCTGACATTTACAGGTGTACAACGGCTGAGCTACAGCGTAACAGAAAGCCGTGGTAACAAATGAGCAGGTCTGGACACCGTCTGTCACGGAGCGCTGCCCAGACGTAGACACACGCTGGAGTTTAACGCCACAGCCTGACAGGAGAACCAGAATAATGAAGGATCCAGAGGTGATCATGTGACAAACACATCATCACATGTAGAGCAGGCAGTGGCTCAGTTCTAACTGAACAACTTCTTCTAATTAGGACCGTGATAGTGTTCTTCATGGGCTAATTTGACACTCTTAAGCCTTTGACACTCATGTCATTTTTTTGTCATCATTACAAATGCAAATTCTCTCTCTCTTTGCTGCATTTTTATGACTTCAGATGTTGACTCAGTCCAGTTGCTTTTTTATTCATATAAACCTTTATAATAATGTAATGGCCCCCAACGGTCCTCCTTTTCAAATCTCTGGACTTATCCCAGCTTCTACTGCTTCCACCATTTCTCAGGAGAACGTTCACGGAGATATGGAGATATTATTGGACCAGGACCATGAACATCTGCTATTAATGATCCTGTTAATGCAGGCGCTCAGGCGACGCACTGCCATTAGGTTCTAATAGAAGAGACGAGAGACTGTGATGAGATTCTACAGCGACACGATGTCGGACCGACTTAACAGCACAAGTGAAATGGTCCAGGTTCTAGTTCAGAGCTGAACAATCCAGCGCTCAGCTAACCACAGCAGAAGACCAAGGCTCCAGGGTTTGGGAGCCACCCGAGCTGACAGCTCATGTTTACGTTGTTTATGGAGATGAAGACAACAGATACAAATGTAAAAAAAAAACTAAAAACTAAGTCTATAAAATGTGAAGCTTGACACTGAGTTATAAAAGTGTTAACTGTAATACAAAGGTAAAATAGCTTTATTTCCATAAATATTTTTATTTTAATTGTCTTAAGACTAAGGACTTTTTTATATGAAAACACGGAGGCTTTATCATTACTTCCAGAATACTGCAATTGTTTCACTTCTTTGTCAAGGAAACTTCCCACCAAGTCAAAGCCCTCAGCGCTAAATGTAAAACACTGCCAAGCATTACTGCCTGTAGATATTCTAACATCCGTAAACAATACTGAGATGACGTGTCCATGTGTGTGTGCACCACACCAAGGACATTAAAGCCAGGATGAAGAAAATCGACATTTCCTGCAGGTTTTCTTTTTGGGAGGTGTTATGGGGGGGGGGGGGGGGGGGTGGGGAGGGTGAATAAAGGGGTCACTCATTTTTAATGGACTAATAACCAGTCCATTATTTGGATTCAGTTTTCAGCTCATAATGCTACATTAAAAAGATGATGACATATAGGGGCTGTGCTTCTGCAACCAATCAGCAAGTATAATTCAGGAGCTCTTTGTTAGGAGCGGAAGGAGAGAGGGAGAGAGAGGAGGGAGAGAGAGGATGAGAGATGGTGACAGCTGCTGAAAATGACAGAGAGACACAAAGAAGGATGTAAAGGAGAGAGAATGAGATGGAATAATGAGAAGGAGCTGGCTGTGACAGGAAGTGAGTGTGAGCAGCGGAGCTGAGGTCTGAGGTACAACCACGGTGTAAGTTAGTGATTAGAGTTGAAAAGAAAAATATAAAGAGGGATTCAACTGGCAGAGGCCGATGAATCATAATGACCAGGTCCTTTCCTAACAACCTTGGTCAAATCCAGCTGGTTTTCCTAACTTTCAGCTACCTTTTAGCTATCTTTAAGCTGCTGCTAATTTTAATAAGAAAAGAAACTTTAACATAAGAATATGTTGAAAAATAAATGTAAAATTGTATGTATTTGATACATTTTTACTTTATCTGCTAGTGTAAGGTTGTCATTTTAGTCAGTGGGTGACTGCTGCTGCTGTTCCTTCTCTGCATTTATTGTTGCTCACGGATCATTTTTCATGGTTTTAGTTTTCACTAAATATAACTTCAGATCCCTTTGATATGACAGAGATGGTTATTTTAAAGTGAAAGTCAACTCCTTGTCATTGTGTTCACAGCTCACCACTGCACTCAACCAGATGTGACCTCTGCTTTTAACCCATCACCAAAGTGAACAGTGGGGGAGCAGAGAGTGGGGACGGTGACATGATCAGAGAACCTCCGCTTCCTTAACCACTAAACCACCACTGCAGCAAAAAAAAGAAAAGGCGATTTATTCCTTTCAGTTCGATATCTAGGGAGGTTTTTTTTTTTTTTTCAAGTACCCCAAGTCCATGACATCTGACGACTGAATCTAATATTCTCTGACTATAGCTTTGTTTCCACCTTTTTTTAATGGTTATGCTTTGATTTCCCTGATGTATAATTTCCTAATGGCTGTAGAATCTATTTCCTGGAAGCTTCACTGAGCTCATCTGAACAGATTGATACATATTTTTAGAGAAGAGAAAGTAATTTTTCTCCCAGAATCCATCACTGGCTCCTTCTGCAAAACATAATCAAGGACAACTGATGATGATGAAGTACTGTTGTCTAAACCCTTTGGATACTTTTAGAATATTTTAGAACAACCTCTAAAACTTTCTTTTGGTAAACAGTTCTCAAAGAGCTAAATATTCTGGACAACTTATCATGGATTTAAAATCTACTCCCACAAACTAATTTGTTTTATAGATAAGGTTTCCCATTTTCTTTGACTTTTAACTAATTTCTCTTTTAATGTGATTTTTTTGGTAGCTGCATGATTAAGATTAAGCTTTTTTCTAGTATCAAGAGTATTTATTTGCTGTTTTTACTGTAGTTTTGACTACAGCTTCTAATGTTTTACCAATAGATTATTTTAGATTTTATTAGCATTATTTTTAGGCTGTTTAGAGCTTTACATTACAGTACTTGAGATAAATTTGTGCCATCAGAGGTTTTACCTGTTTTAAAACCTCTCATTTATATTATTATTATTGTTATCACTATTTCAAAGGCTTAAGATTTCAGCCATGTCATACTTGTAAATCTGAAGTAACAAATAACACAAGAACTTCAATAAATACCTGAACCTTCATTCCAGGAATATTCTTTATATTTTTTGACATCTTTGGGTGAAAACATTGAGACTTTTTTCCTGAATGTCAGGGGTTCGAGGCTAAACTTTACCTATTTTAGGCAAACATTAAGCTACACCTCTGTATTAAAAACCAGAAAACTGCAGATGAACCTCGTGCAGCTGATCCATAATGGAGGAGTGAAAAAATGACACAGACCACTGGTTCCATCTGAGCCTCAGGAACAAAAGCCAGGACTTAATTAAAGGAGCAGAGAAGGAGGACAAACGTGTTGGTGGGAGAAGGAGAACAGTTCCACTCAGTAAATGGAATATCTGACTGGTTAAGATCCAACTACTACGCATCTAAACAGATACAAAGAGTAAAGCCATGTTTATCAGGCTGTATCAGAGCAGGTGAACTGTCCATGGTGCTGATCCTGCCATCATTTGTCAGAGGTTTAGTCAAAACAATGATCATCTGCTCATACAGTGAGGTCAGGTCACCACAGTGAACATCCCATTCGCTCACAGGTCATTAGTGTCAAAATAAATAACAAAGCCCTGACACTGAATGTATGACTCTTTCTGACACTGTTATAGAGCCACACATGGACACACTGCCATCTAGGGGTGGTGAAAAACTGACCTGTGGATCAGTCAAACAGGTTGTACTTGAAATTCTGGCTATTTGTAAGTTAACTTTAAGGTAACTTATTTATAAAATTAGGCCAAACCTGCTCTTCAGAAAAGTGTGAACTGTCCATGGACCTGAGTCGGCAGCCATATTCTATGGCCTTGTGTCTTTAAAATAAATAAATAAATAATTATTGGAAAATGAAAAACAAAAGTGTATACGACCCAAATAATCAACTGACAATAGAGGCACCAGCTGAAAAACAAACCTCTACATGGACAGAGATGAAGTAACTCGAGCCCAGTTTCCTGCTGGGTGACGTGACTGAAAACTTTCCCCATTAGCTCTACATTGAACACAGGAGCGATATCACCAGGCCCAGGTGTTAAACCAGACCTGTGTCACCTCAGCATTCAGTCCTTAATCAGGATTTCTTTTTACACTCTGTTGCTACCATTCATAACGATGACAGGTGTAGTGGAAATTACAGCTCCAGCTTCTTGACTTCCAAAACAATCATTAGCAACTGCATATGCTATTTAATCAACACGAGAGCCAATTACACAGGAGATGAGGACATTATTACATAGCGAGGTTCCAATCACTGCAGCTGATGGAAAGTTTCAATCAGCAACACCTGAAATCTCTCCCCTCGCTCAGTCAGAAAACAACAGGTTTAGTTTGGACAAACTTTCCAACGTGGCTGTGACTCATTCAGCACAGACTGGCTCGCTGCCCCCCTAGGGATCTAACCTTAAAGATTATCCAGGGGTTCTTAAATCATAACAACTTATTTGCAGTCTCTTCTGGTTCCTCTTTGTCCAAAACAATCAAGAGAGAAGTACTTTTGAAAAGCAGGAGGAGGGCCCAGTCTGAAACTGTTTAGACACACATTAAGACAACGGTTTCCAACAAGACAAAAACACTTCTCATCAATGCTATGTGCAAATCACCTACACATGGTCATTAAGCAAACAACTTTCAGGAAGTTCCAGCAACTTCTCTCGTATATACAGCTTCCTAAAAAAAAAAAAAAATCAAACTTGAATTTCTCCCCACTTCTAGACAACCAGGATGAAGCTAAAGAGAAAAACACACCGTTTGAAAGCTCCTGTGGTGGAAGGAGAAACCACTCTGAATCGGACTTCAGTGTTTGTGTTTTCTCTGACCAACTCCATTATTATCCCTGCACTGTCACACATGCTGCTCCAAATGTGAGCCATTAGCTGCTGGCGCCGCATTCATTGGCCACTCAAAGGTCCAGAACACATTCAAAAATACACAGAGAAGCACACAGACACACACTCACTGCATTAGTGTGGATTATTAATGAAACTGACACTGGGAAACAAGACTAACACGGACCAGAGACGGTGGAAGATGGACAGAGAGGACAGGACAAAAGCATTATGTAAAAGTGAGATAATGCAGGCAGCAAGAGTGAGAAAAGAGTTGGCACGAGGCTTTTATTGCAGTGTTTAATATTAAATAAAGCTTCTGTGAAAATGCTTTTGATATTGACTCTACGACGAGGAGCGAATCTGTTATATACCAAGATAAAAAGAAGAGAACTTCAGATTTTATTCAGTAAAATTGATAAAGAAATGAGCACTGGAACCAAGTGAAAATAAAAGCTAACTTTCATGTCAGTAACATGTCAGTGTTGACAGATGAACTGTTAGCAGCTTCAGGTGTTCACATCATGTACAGAGTTCATGAACCAGCTGTTCACTAGTTTCTTTATTTGCACAAGAACATTCATAAATCTGACTTCTGTAAATCTGTAAGAGAAAGCCTCTCACTTTAAGACATCAAAGAATGTCCTACTGTTAGAACCTGAAGTTTCTAACATTGTAAAAAAAAAATTATAGCGTAGAAGAAGTCTGACTCTGTGTTACACCAAGGGTGGAAGCTGCTGCTGAATGGGCGTGACCTTTGAGCACTTCATGCTACCTGTTTCCTAGACTCATAAAAGAAATGTAGTCAAAGAGAGAGCGACTGCACTCCAGATTGGTCTCCTATTTACATTATATTTTTGTCTGTTTGATGTATTAATGTATGAAGGAAGGGAGTGAACTCCTTGTCAGTGTGACACAGCTCATCACTGAACACAACCAGATGTGACCTCTGCTTTAACCCATCACCAAAGTGAACAGTGGGGGAGCAGAGAGTGAGGACGGTGACATGATCAGAGCACCTCAGTGGTGACTTGGCAGCTGGTGGACTTGAACCTGAAACCTTCTGGACCCAGGTCCACTTCAGTGGCTCAGTGGTAACTTTAAATGCCTCAGTTTGAGGGTGAAAACCAACTGTTCTTTTCCTACAGTGGATCTTTCTGCAGTTGTTGGAAGCACACCAACTTTTCACAAGTTAAACTTTGTACCAAACCCGTTCAACTCCACATAAAAGTGTCATTTATGAAGCTAAAACTTAATAAATTGTGTTTAAAGAGGACTGAATCAGGCGTTTAAAATTAAAGTCCATGGGCAGACTCTATGTGACTAATGGACCTGCCAGAAATTTTCTGCAAAAAAGAAACAACCCAAAATGCATCACGGGCCAGATTAGGTTTGATTATAAACAAGATTTAATGTGTTAACTACACAGCTTTTAGGCAAACACTGGGGAGATTTATGAAGGAAGGACGGAGCCAAAGCACCTGCATCTGCTACAGCTCACTAAATGAAGCCAAGCACCTCATTCAGATTACTGATGACTGTACTATTTATCACGCTGGAGGAGGAAGAACTGTAGGGGTTCAGCTACAGAGTGAGGCGGGTGGAGAGGGGGAGGAGGGGAGGGGCGCAAGGGCAGAAGGAGAAAAGTTTTAAATACCTGCAGTTGGTTATCCCACAGTAACTGACGGTAAAGACGAGGGTTCAGAGAGGACAGTAAAGCAGTGGAGATAAGGTTGGAGGGGTGAGGTCCAGATGTTTGATCATGCTCTTCCACCCTGATCCACGCTTTCCTAAAGTCCATTCTGACCAATCATAGGCAGAGAATCAGACCTAACTCCGACACTTCTGCCATCACACAGCAGCGAGGCACCAGTCAAACACACACACACACACATTTTTGCAGTATATTAAAAAAAAGTTGGTAGAAAAAAAAGAACTCTGACACAAAGACTTAGAGATTGGCTGCTTTGCTGGTGGCACTTCTTCTTCAGAAGACACAGACGCAGCGTCTCAAAGACTCCACGGGGTTTTTCACATCAAAGGGCTGCAGATGAACGCAGAGCAGGTCGCCTCAATATTCATTCCAAAAATCCCAGCAGTGCTCCCAACGAGAGAAATAAAAGTCATAAAGGAGCCGAGACAACATCCCTCAAAACATATTAACCCCACGTTTACAGACTGGGATGAAAAACCGAGAAACGTTCTTTGGCATCTTTCAAGTCCCTAAGACACAGAGGAAACTGTGGTTGATTATCCTGAATCAGTGAAGGGCGTCAAACCTCAATGTCATTATTTGGTCTCTTTAAAGGCCTGAAGTCAGATCAACGACGGATAAGGAAATATTACAGAACAGAAGAAGAAGGATGAGGCCAAAGTGGAAAATAACAAACTGACCAGGGAGTTTGTGTCCACACCCAAATGTTTACTAGAAGAAAATAAAAACAAGAAGAGCCAGAGGGCGAAGGAAAACAGAGACAGATGCTCCAATAATTTCATTATCGCCTCAGTGTGTGGGACTCAATGTAGGTGGGCTGTCACACAGCAACCATCAGCTGTGATTAATATCCGCTTGGTTCCACCCAAGTTCATGACATCACCACTGTTAAAATGTGCTTATTAATATCCAGTGCAAAATGCATGACAACAACTGAGAGAAGGGCTGAGGGTTGAAGGAGAAGTTTACAGAAATAAATATTTATACATATATGTGTATGTACGCTACAGTCAGATGCTCCTTTTTGCCACTTTACGGCTCCTTCACGTGTCATCAAACCAAAACGTGTCAAGGGACGATTGCGTCTTCCCTCTGCAGCCAACAAAAACGTGTCAAGGGACGATTGCGTCTTTCCTCTGCAGCCAACATCTCTCTGTTCAGCACAATCCAGACAACTGCTGCTAACGCCACTAAAGCCCACAGTGAGGAAGGTCAGTACTGAGCCATCATCACCACAGGCACTCGTGCAGTAAATGACCTGCAATCCCATGAGGCTCTGCTCAGACATCCACCAGTGGCTTCACTGGGAGGAGGAGGACAGTGGAACCAAAAACTGGGCTAAGACAGATGGAGGAAGCAGAAGAAATAGTTTAAAAAAAAACAGGGCACACAGGTGTGTTTTCTAGGTCTACAGACTCAACATAAAACACAGACAGACTGTTCACACATAAATCTGTGTATCCTGGGTGAGCTGGACGGCAGCGTGGCAACAGCCAAAAAGGTACAGTAACAGCCTGGAGGTATGAGGAGACCGAGCGTGTGTGTGTGTGTGTGTGCGTGTGTGTGTGTGTGTGGTTTCAGAAACAGCCCCTGGCAGAACGGTGAATCTGGAGATGCTTCACTCCTTCATCTTCAGAGTCGTAGCAGAGCTCCTTTCAGCTAATGCAGCTTCAGGGATCGTCACCTCTGTTTGTTAAAGGCTTGATAATAAAGTGATTATAAGAAGGATTCTCTTTAAGGCACAGATTAAATGCATTTTTCACAAATCGCCACAGTTGCCGAGACAAAAACAGATTACTGTTGGCTTTTTCTAGAGGGTTGTCCTGGCCATGGTGGTTCTGCTAAATCCCTGAGAATGTCTTTAAGTCCTCAGCCT